GCAGACGGGCGGCGGAGCTCCGCGGGCGCGCCGCGACCTGTACGAGGTGCTGGGTGTCCCGGCCACGGCGACGGCGGCGCAGATCAAGACGGCGTACTACGAGCAGTCGTTCCGCTACCACCCCGACCGCAACGCCGGCAGTGCCGCCGCCGCCGCCCGCTTCGCCGCCGTTAGCGAGGCCTATCGGGTGCTCGGCAGCGCCGCCCTGCGCCGCAAGTACGACCGCGGTCTCCTCAGCCGCGAGGACCTGCGCGGCGCCCCACAGCCCAAGGGCCGCCCGCCCGCTCCACCCGCGCCGCCGCCCCCGGCCCCCGCGGCCGCCCGCCGTGGGCCCGTCCCGCCGCCCTTCGACTTCGACGCCTTCTACCGGGCGCACTACGGGGAGCAGCTGGAGCGGGAGCGGGTGCTGCGGGCGCGGCGGGAGCAGCTGCGCCTCCGCCGGGAGGAGGCCGCGGCCCAGGGACGCTTCCGGCTCCTCTCCGACCTCTCGGTCGGGCTCATCTTCTTCCTGGGTTTCGCTATCCTCTACGGCCTCAAGTGACAGCGGGGCCACTGCAGGGCAGGGTAGCCACCGGGGCACCCACATAGCTCCACTGCTGCTGTGGGACGGAGTGTCACCGGTGGGTATGGCAGCTGGCTGGGGGGCGTTTCCTGCACCCGCACAGCTGGCAGGCACCATGTGCAGGCTCTGCTCCTCTGGCCATGACATTTCATCTCTGCTGGCGTGACCTCCAGATACAGTACGTGACCAGCAGGCACCATGCGTGGGCTCTGCTCCTGAGGCTGAGACATGTCCCTTCTGCCAGCGTGACCTTCAGAGATGGTGCACAGCTAGCAGGCTCCTTGTGCGGGCTCTGGTCCGTGGGCTGTGACCTGACCCCTCTGCCAGCATGACCTTCAGACATGGAAGGCAACCGGCAGGCCCAATATATGGCTGCGATGTGACCTCTGCAAGTGTGACCTGCAGACAGCATGTGACCACTGGCTACCGCATGTGGGCTCTGCTCCACAGGCTGTGATGTGCCCCTGCCACCAGCGTGACCTTGCAGACGTGGCTTGACAGGCTGCTATGTGCCCCCTCTGCCAATATGACCTGCAGACAGTGCCTGACAGGTAAATGTGGTTTGTGGACTCTGCTTTGTGGAGGGGACGTTGGCACTGCTGTTTGACCTTGGTGGGAACCATGTGCCTGGTCTAAGCTACAGCAGAGATTAAATGGCTGTCAGTGGTGTTTGTGTGCTGTGTGTGTTCGTGTGGGGTGCTCTCACCAGTGCCGAGTTAAGGCTCTCTGTGGTTTTCTGTTAATCCGAGACCTGCCACCTCTGTGCTGTCACATCTGTTGGTACTACATCTTTGGGGAATTTTAGGGGTGTTGGTCTCCAAACTGCATCATTGCCCTCGTCTGTCCCTGTTCAGGGCTTGCCCTGCTGTGTCGCAAGTACGGAAGACTTGGCTTCAGCAGCCTGGAATAATGAAACCTGGGCCCCTGGCAGCTCCTGTCCTGGTCAGTGTGTGACATCGGCTGGAGGTGCTGTCCAAAACACTGCTGTGTTTAGAACAGCCTGTCCTGTCTTGGGCTTGCCAGGAGCTTCGGACAAGACCATCCCGCACAGGCCTTCGTGGCTGGGAGTGGTATGCTTCTGAGCACTGAGTGCCATTACTTGTCTTTTATATGTATCTGAGCATCATTTGCACATAAGAGTATTTGCCTATTTAAGTACTGAAGTGTTTTAAGAACTAAAGATTGTGTGTCTTGGAGCTTCTGTCTTTCCTTGGGTGAAGGTTTCACCTCTGCTATGCTGTTACTATGTGGAGTGAGCGAAGCTTCATGGTATTGAACTCTGAGTGTGCCAAAGACTTCATTCATCTGCATTACTTTGCACTGGATTTGCTGCGCCTGGCTGGCACTGGTCTGCGCAGGAACCAAGCCCTCTCCCCTCACTGCAGTGACCTTGGGTTATGTTTTCTCTCAATACAAAAATGTTAAAAGCAAATGCCCCATGTTTTCTGGCTGTGTAGTTCTGTGATACTAAACTGAGTCTGAGACAGTAGCATGGCAGGGAGTATAATGCCTCCTGGTACAGGGTATATACTGTACAGGAGAGCTTTCTGCCTTTTCTGGAAAGCACTGTACCACTTCCAGCTGCAGACTCCGGAGACCACTGCATGTTTGGAGCAAATTCAGCCCAGGGACAGAGTGCGAGCTTTCCAGGATCCTCTCTGATTGTCAGTCCATCCTTCTGTGTGGGATTATAGTGCTGAAATGTCAGTATGTGAAGAGCGGGAACCCAGCATTCAAGGGTATCTGTTACAGAGTGAAAGTCTCCAGAGTTGTGGCTCTGTGTCATGTGCTGATGCATTTTCATGCCATAAACCAACTCACCTGAAAGATCAGAGGCGACTTCTCTGGCAGAGTTTGGCAGGAAATGTTCTCTTCCAGGCTGGAAAAGCTAGGATGTCCATAGGAAATGGTGGGTACTAGGGAGCACCTCTCCAGTTCCTGGTGTGGCTTGCAGGTTTTTAAGGCAGCCCTGACAAACATGAGGTGTCCTCTGGATTGATCTTTCTTAAATCTATGTAGTGCCAAGGCCTGGGGCTTGTGGGCTGTTCCTGCAGGCAGGCTCTGTACCCAGCTGTGAGCCAGCTTCCTGGCAGAGGGTCTGGTGTGGAGCAGGAGGAACAGGCTAGCTGGTATGCTGCCTGCATCACTCTGCTCCCTAACACTGGGACAGGGAAAGAGCTGCTGCAGTAAGCCGGCTGGGCTGGCTCCTGCTCTGTGTCTGGTGCTTGTGTCTGAAATTGTGGGGTGAAGTACCCAGGCACCAAAACTGAGCTAATCCATGTGCCTTTCAATGGGTGGTTTGGGCAGTTTATATTACTGGTTCTTCCTCAGGTCTCCATGATGTATCTTGAACATTAAATATAACTAGCCATAAACTGGTGATGAAATGACACACCTTTCTTTTGGTGGGCTTGGTTGGTAAATATTCCTTGTACTTGCTGGAAAATGGAGGGTAGGGGACAGGCTGGTGTTGCACATAGTGACTGCAGCAGGTTGAGGAAGAGGGTGGGGAGGGGGGTGCTGTTTCCCTGAGGCCATGCTGGGAAGGGTGGGCATCCTGCCTGCAGTCAGCGGGGCTTGGATAGGATGTCCTCCCTGGGCCACTGTGGAGTTCACTCCTGCCTGCTGGAGACCTGTTCTGTGCTGCCTCTTGACACACGTGGGTTGCTGTGCACTTGTGACGTGTTCTCTGCAGGCAGTGTTTAGCTTTGCTCAGAGGAGGGGAAGCATGGAAGCAGGGTACAGAGGGATACTTTGGGGCATCCAGTGTGTCACTTTTGGTGTGGTACAATGTGTACTTCTCCCCAGCGTCACCTTTGCCCTGGTCAGGCCTGAATGCTCCTCTGCTCCAGGAAGGATTTCAGGAGCTTGGGCACCCAGTGGCTGCAGCTAATCCAAATGCACAGACCAGCTGCCAGCTCCCAGCACACCAGGTTTCTACCCCTTTGTCTTCTTGTGTCAACACTGTTGTCATGTTCTTGTCTTTCCCTAGTTGTTTCTCCGATGGCAAGGTGCCAAGAGCAACCAGATTTCTTGGGGCTTTCCTTTAGCCAGGTGAGCGCAGTGCTTGTAGGGTGCCTGCGGCACAACTGCTAGGGGAAATACAGCAGGGCCTAACTGTGACAGCAGTAGTGTGATGGCAGGGGCTTGTGTGAGCTGTACAAGCCCACCAGGATCAGAAGGTCAAAGTGAAAAAGGAGAGGAAACAGGGCACAAGTGGGGCTGATAGGATGTGTGAGGCTTGCTGCACAGGGACCTACTCTGTATTTAAACCCCATGTTCTACCTCTCCTGTGGCAGTGGTTCAGCAGTACTGTTGTTGAGAGGTGACTATTCATTGCTCCCAGCATTGGGATGCTGAGCAATCGGAGAGGGTTACAGAGCTGTCTTCAGAGAGGGAGAAGCGCTGGGCAGATCAGTGAGAGCCATGATGAGTTTGCTTTCCCTCACACTTGCTGTGAGGAGGCATAGGCTTGTGCACTGCTCCAGCACCTTCCTCTGGCAGCTGGATCTGAGCCATGCAGCAGACAGTGAAGCTTTGCAACTGACTGTGTTCTTGGCTGTCTTCACACCTCAGGGACAACAAGGAGGGATCCTTGGGGTACTGAGCCACAGATGGTTGTTTCTGTGAGAGACAGCCCATCTTCCTGCAGCTGGGGGCAAGGCAGCTGTGGGTTGTGGTCACAGCAGGGAACAGCTTCCACTCCCAGGTCTACTGTGGGCTTTGCCTCCTTTAAGGATATATCCAGTTAGTATAAAATTAATCTCAGTAATATACTGCAGTCACAGCTGTACAGCCCCCTCCTGGCCTGTGCTCTCAGGGTGGTGAGGATGGCAGTTTCACCTGGGGAGGAGGTCACCATGAGTTGTTGGCATCCTGAGGCCTTTGCTGGGAGGAGTGTGATGTTCACAGTGGGGATTTCTTCCTCCTCACTCTCAAGTCCACTGGGGCCACTTTTACACATTTTCTAGCACATCCTACTCCTCTCTTCATTGCTCTGCATCTCCACATTATGTCTGGCTTTATTAAATGATGTATTGTGTGCATGCTGGATGCTGGTTCCTTGCTCTCTTACCCCTGACACCTATTTTTGCCAGCTCTTAGATTTGTATCACTGAAAGGAACTGCCCAAGGGTGAGTTGCTGGTGGGGTCTCAGCTATCACCGTATGCCCACCCCTCCAGGCCTGTACTGCTCTACCCTGCACCCTCACCCCAGGGTTTATTCTGTGTTACTCAATCCACCCTTGAATTACTAACAAAAGACACGCCACGCCACTGTAAAAGGGAAGCAAAACTAAAACTAAGTAGTTAATGGCCACTTGGTAATTAGATGCCATTACAAACTAAGTAAATCAAACAAAAGTTCCAGGCAAGCTGAGACAAGCCTGGATGAAGCCTGACAGCCCCAGTCCTGATGCCTTGCAAGCTCAGTGCAGACCTCGTTCCCTAGTCCTATCCCAGCCTATTCTCATGGGCTGATGTCCCCATAACCACAGGCTTGGGGTGCTGAGCTGCTTGCCTCAGCTGCTGGGTGGTGCAGCCTGCAGGCATGGGGTCTTGGTGCTTCATTAGGGCCTCTTCCCTCCATCTAGAGAAGCTGGCCCACTCTTTGGGAAGGAATGGGTTAAACCTGGCTCCTGGCAGGTCTTTGGGGGTGCCAGCAGGGCTGGGGGCATAAGGGGCAGAGACGAGGAGCTGCAGGCCAGGTGAGAAGGGTCCTGAGCAGCACTGGAGTGTTGGCCATCATGCCCCCCCCACCCAAGAGGGGCTGGCCTGGCAGGGAGGGGGGTGAGGGGACAGCCCCAGCCCTCACCTGCCCTGGGATCTGTGGGCAGCGCTCTACACCCCAGTCTGGCTGCTGCTGGGCTGGCGGCTGCTCTACCCCTGCCCCAGGGAAGGGCCACACGCTTGGCAGCACCAGTGGATGAGGGGGCAGCTGCCCCTCCCTTTACCAGCATCCCTTGCGGCAACCCCTCTGTTAATAGAGTTAACAGTTAATAGAGTTTCCTCTGTTAACAGCCCTGCTGTCTGCCAAGTGCCTGCCATACAGGGGGGCCCAGATGGGGCACCCTGGCACCACCTCTCGATGACTGGCCCTAGCCTGGGCTTTTACATCCCCTGCTGACCTGGGGTTGTGGCTCAAAGGGTCTCCTGGAGGCTGCTCATGCTGGGGGCACCCCTTCTCTTCCAGGTGTCCTGTCCCTCCTGGGCTGGGGGCTGCTGCTTACCCAGCCTGGGTTCCAAAAAGCCACGCCTGGGGGTGCCAGGGAGGCCACAGAACTGGCAGGGCCAGCTCCCTGCCTGCCCCCCTGGGTTTGGCTGCACACCAGCTGGCACTGGGGCTGAGCTGGTTGCTGCCTGGCCCAGTGCAGAAATGAATGCAGATGCACACCTGTTGGCAATGCTTCCTCCTCCCCGGGGGCGCATTTACCCCCCTTGACGTGGCCCTGTGGGACAGTCAGCATTTGATGCAGGCAGGGAGAGCCACTGTGCAGGCAAAGAGGGGCACAGAGGGATCACTATGCCGCTGCCAGCTCCTGTCTGTTACTAATGTCCCCGTCTTGTGCCCTGTGCAGGACTTTGTCTTCAGTCCAGGTCTGCCTGCGGAAGGGGCTGGAGCTGCCAGTATGGTGAGGTACTGACCACACACTCTAGGCAGACACCCAATGCTGCCATGTTCCCCAGAGGCACAGGGTGCTCTAGTGCTGCATGTACACTCCCTGCGTGTACACAGGACCACTGCAACTGGGGAGTCCAACCACCCGCCTGGGGCAGTATGTGCTCCAAACTGGACAGGACCAACTCCAGGGTTGGAGGAACCTCCCCAAGGCAGGGGATCACCTTGCTTGGCAGCTTCCCAGTGGTTACAGTGGGGGTGGAGTGGGGTGGTGGCCAGTCCAGCAGGACCATGGGGCTGCCAGGGCCTGCCCACTGCTACCTGAGCTGGGCAGGTGCCCGGGGGTGCTGCAGGGCTCCTATGGATGGAAAGCCAGCCAGGGCCACAGCGTCCCAGCTCACTTTTTGTTCTTTGGACCGTTGCTTTTAGTGCTGTCAGCTCTGGTGGGACATGCTCACCCTCCCCGGGCTGGAGAGAGGCAGCTGCTCACCTTGAGGGTTCACACTCATGGGGCCGCATTTGCCCTTGCCGTAAGGTGACTCAGTACCTGCTCGGGGCCAGGGAATTTAGTCCTGGAGCTGGTGACAGACCTGTGCAGCATTGCCTGGGACTGCTCAGCCCTGGGGAGCCGTGCAAAGCATGCACTGGCTGGGGAGACCCACTGGTTGTGCCTGGCTGTTTTTTGAGTGGCTTGGCTCCTTGTGCATGGTCACATGTGCACTAGTGCCAGCCCCAGTGCTGCACCCGGTCCCATCTTGCAAGGCAGTGACACGGCTCATCACCATTGCCTTTGGCTGCCATTCAGCCTGTACAGGGGCCTGGCTCTGGGCTCCGGCATGCACCATATCCTCATGCCCTTGCCTTGGGGTCCTTTCCTCCTGAGGCAAGTGCTAAGGTGGCCTTCATCTCCCAGGTGGGCATCCAGATCCTGAGGGAGAAGCCTTGTGCTTTCCCACTGCCACCCCTTGTGGTGCGTGCCCAGAGCTGTCATAGCTTGACACCCACACATCACTCAGGCCCATGTCCCCACGCTGCACCCACAGCCCTGGTCATCTCACACAGTGTCCAGTGCAGCCCTTGGGGTAGCTTGGGCAACTGTCTGGGGGACCCCAGGACACTGGGTAGGACAAGGCTGCCTGTGCATCCCAGCCCCCTCCAGACACAGCACAGATAGCCCCACATGGACCAAGTGGCCTCCTGAGTGCTCCTGCTTGGTTCCCTGGTTAGGTTAGCCCTGTGGGACTGGTATGGGAGCCCAGCCAAGCTCTTGTGCCATGGCTGCCAGCCTACTATGGTCCTTCCTCCTGGCATGTGGCAAGCTACAGAGGTGGCAAGCCACAGAGCCTGACTGTGGCAGTCAGGCATGTCCTGGTACCTTTCATTGACAGGCTGAGCCCAAACAGAGCTTAGTAGAACCCAGGAAAGCAGGAGGTGCTCTGTGAAACCCCAGCTATTCCAGTGACTACCATCTCCTTGCCTGCCAGTAAAGCCACAGTGGCTGGTCCCCAATTTATCCTAGTCTTAAACCTGTTTTAACTGGTTATACTGGATGAGTGGTGCCATTCCCACAAGTGAGGGCTGGAGTTCGGCATAAGAGCCAGCACCCTCAGTGGTGGATGGGGTGATCAGACACTGCAAGCCAATGGTCCATATTTTGGGATGCTTTGTAGCCACAGCCAGGGCCCCTTGTTGCTTTGGGCGATTTCTAAGCAGTCCACATAGCAGTGCCAAGCTGCAGGGTGGGCAGGCAACTAAGAAGGAAGAAAAAATGCTACAACCAGACAGGGGCTGAATGCACAAGAAGAACCTGAAACCCAGTCAAAAGCTAGAACCAGCATGAGAGACCCCAGAGCAGGGAACAAGTACCCCAGGGTGCCCAGGAGGCTGCAGCAGAGGAACCAGGGCTATCCCCTGCCCCAGGCTTGTCTCGCCATCATGTGAAATTAAGGAAAACCACAGAGGAGCCTGGGATGAAACAGGGTGAGCTCAGGCCTCCTGCTGCCCATTCCAGTGGTGTCTGAAGCCAGGGCTAGTGCAAAAAGGTGGATGGGGAATGGGTACTAAAAACACTGCAGAGCTGCACACAGACCCATGAGACAAGCTGCTGCAGGGCCATGAGTGAGACTGGCTAGCTGTAGGGTATAACCCTTCATGGGGGCGAGGACTTGGCTGCTGGCATACAGCATCTCTGCTTACCAGAAGTCTTCACCATGTGCAGGGCCAAACTGCTGGGAGGTAGTCCCTGGCACCTATCTGGGTGGAAACACACACTCACTGGGCTCTCTGCTCCCCTTGTGGGGGCTCTTTGCCTTGCCCAGGGCACTGATGGGCTGAGCCAAGTGCAGGTGCAATGCCTGGGGGCTTGCCAGGCTGGAGGACCCTCTTTGAGTGCCAGTCACCACCAAACCTAGCAAGTGTCCCCCCGCAACCACCTCCTCCCTGCCTGTCCCATCCCTCTGTTCATACCCAGAGCCAAGGGGTAACACAGAAAGTGGAAAAGAGCCTTTATTTAGAAAGCACATGGTGCCCAGTGCTCCTGGGCCCTCTTCCCTGCTATCTCCCACCTGATAGAGTCTACTGACGTCCCTACAAACCACCACCCCCCACCTCATGTCACTGTTCCTCTTGCTGTGGATGCAGACACCTCCCCCCAGCAGCTCCCCAAGTGCAGGACCCACTGCCTGGCCATGGCACCTGCCCCATCCCACCCCCGGCCAAACACTGCCAACCCCCTGTGAGCACTCACCCCATGCCTGCCCAACAGACACCACAGCCCCTCAGAGCTGTGCCTACACCACAAACCTACCCCCACGTGCTCCCTGGCCAGGGTGTTCCTGTGCAGCCCCCTTCGAGGCACAGGGCCAGGAGTGGGGACATCCCCCATCCCTGCCCTGCTACCGGTGTGGAGGCTCCAGCTTCTGGTGTCGCGGCCGCTGCTGCCTGCGGAAGGGCTGGGGGCTGAGCAGGCGGATGTGTCCGACGAGGCGCAGGGGTGAGCCCGGGCTGGGGATTTTGGAGCAGGGAGATGCTGGCTGGTGTCCCAGGGCTGGGAGATGGTGTCTGCGAGGTGCAGCCGGCATGGCAAAGGGCACAACAGCCTCCGAGGGGATGAGAAAGGCAGGCACAAAACCGTAGGAGAGATTGAAGGCTTTGGGGGCTACTCCATTCTGAAGTGGGGCAAGGCGGGTTGGTGCTGGGCTAGCCAGGGCACCTGGGCACCCCGTGGGGCCCACAGGGTCCCTGCCCACCCGGTCTTTCTGCAGCAGCTCCTGCAGTTTCTCCAGCTGTGTCCGGTAGATGTGGGAGCGTGTGCGGCTCTGGCAGAAGGACTCCAGAAAGGAATCAAGGGGCAGGTCCTGGGCCAGGAACTGCTTTATCTGTGCCTGTGGGACAGGCAGTGGGGCAGCATCAAGCCAAGAGAGCCGTGGGACCACAAAGGGAGCACAGATAGCTGAGCACCCCCAGACCCAGGACTCTTCTCCAGGGTCTGGCACATGGGAGGGCATGGAGGGGAGTCCAGGGACAAGGTGAGGAAGGGGCAGCAGCACAGGGGTCTCGCCTGACTCACCTCTGACTCTGCCTCAGAGGCATCGAGCTTGGCTTGGAGCTGGCTCAGGGCACTCTGTGGGCTCCACTTCTCCAGGTAAGCCTCTGTGTCAGGAGAGGATGGGGCTGCCGAAAAACCTCCCGCCAGACACCCCCACTGCTGGGGCTGTGGTCTTTCCTACCCCCAAGCATCAGATCTCGTCCCCCTTGAACTGAAACACCCTCAAACACATCCCTGGAGCCACCTGCACACCGAGGCCTGCATCCCACCACAGCATCAATGCCAGCCGAGGGCTGGCTATGTCACAGGCAGCATCACCCCCCGCTGCTCCTGATCATGGCTGGGCCATTTCCCCAGAACAGGTTCGACGATGCTAAGCCCACCCGGGCCCTTGTATTAACGTGGGTTGCTCTGGCCATGCTGGGCTTTGCCTTGTCCCATTGGCTGCACCTCACTCACCTAGACGCTGCTGCTTGTCCCAACATGCCTCTCTTATCTCCCGCAGCTCATGGTACTTGATGGCTAGGGAAGCCTTCCCGTCCTCCAGCCGCGGGCGCAGGGACAGGTTCACCCTGGCCAGGGTGCAGTTTGAAGCCAAACACATCTCCCGCTCCAGCTGCAGACTCTGAAACTGCGAGGATGGGAAGCGAGTGGGGGGAGGTGTCAGCACTGGGAGAAACAGACAGAACCAGTCAGAGCTGGCAGCCTGCTGGGAGGGTGTCCATCTCCATCCAGGGACAAACCCTCTCCTCCTACACTGTCCCCATCCCTCTGCTCTGCCTGGAAGGGGAGTGTGTCCCGGGGGGGGATGCGACGGCTGGACCCAGGCTATGCACACTACAGGGCAGCTTACCCTGAATGTGGGAAAGCTCACAGCTGGCTACCCAGCCCCCTTTGCAGAGGAAAGTACTCGTCAGCCAACAACGATGTCAGGAGAGAGAAACACACCCTCTCTCGGTGCACACACATTTTTCCGCCCACCCAGAGAGAGCAGTAGAGCATGGTGCCAGGCTGTGCTTTGAGAGGCCCAGGGGAAAAATGATGAAATGAGGCTGAGAACAATTTATAGAATAACCCGACCCTGTTCCCGCAGAGAAGCGCCAGGAACCGCTGGAGCCAGGGAGCACTCGGGGCTCATCCCAGCTGCGGGCAACGAAGGCAGACGCAGAGGGCACGGCTAGGGGCCGGGGCCTACCAGCCTCCCCCAAATTTCGGGGCAGTGAGAGCCGAGAGCAGCGAGGGCAGCGGCTGTGGCCCTGCCCTGGGTTTTGGTGGCCCGAGGCTGCTTGGCAGGCGACGGCTGCCGAGACCCCGAGCGGCACCAGGAGCCCCGGGGCAGCCACCGGCCGGGACGCCCAAGCCGAGGTTTCCCCGCGGCCACCCCAGCCAGCCGGTGGGTTTTGCTGCTCCGCCACAGCCTCCGGGCTCGGCGGGCGGGATTTCAGGTATTAGGGGAAGACCGACGAGCAGCGGTGCCAGGGACCGGCGGGGCGATGCCCGGTGCCCCGGGCTGCGGGCGGCTCCACCCCGCGCACCGGGAAAGCCCCGCCGGGGGCGAGCGC